TACCTCGCCCAACGTCTAGACTCCGTCTCGCCCGACCCCCGAGGGCAGGCTTCGCCTCGCCCGACGTCCATCCGCTGGCTCCGCCTTGCCCGATGTCCGGGGGCTGGCTCCACCTCGCCTGATGTCTAAGGGCAGACTCTGCCTTGCCCAACGTCTAAGGGCAGACTCTGTCTCGCCCGACCCCCAAGGGCTGGCTCCGGCTCGCCTAACGTCCGGGGGCTGGCTCCGCCTTGCCCGATGCCTGAGGGCAGACTCCGCCTCGCCCGACGTCCGAAGGCTGGCTCCACCTCGCTTGACATCTGCGCGCTACTCCTTCATAACTATGCGCGTAGATAAGACAGGACACTCAAGTCAATCGCAATACCGAGGACCATACCCTGCACGCCTGCAGGAAAGTACCATCAAGATATGACAAGACGGGCGCTTTAAGCCCTTCCAGGCATGTCAGAGCCCGAACAGTGTTGTAGGCGCCGACATTTGTCTTACAGTGTTGTGGGCGCCGCCATTTGCCCTCGGGCGCAGATCCTAACGGAAGAATACGACAACCACTACGGTCCAAGAGGAAAACTCACATCATCTATAGTAACGGACATGCGGTCACTGCACAGTCTGCTCCTCGTAGGGTCATGGATCAGCACCCTGGTCCGTTGCGCCGACCGTCGGAGCGGGATGGGACGTGACCACTTGCTGACAAAGCCAGAACATGGTATCATCAGCGGACAGATGCCCAGTGCGGCCCTATCAGGATCAGCAGACATGCACCCAGCATGGAGCTATCCCTGGCACCGTCTGCCGTGTCAGCGGGGCTCGCTCAGAGGAAAAGGAAGACCCAGCATATTTGAAGGACCTCCTTTGCCTCTGGTTTTTCTTCTTTCTCCCATTTGTAATCCCTGCTTCCCCTTGGTCTATAAAAGGGAAGGCATGACACCCCACTAAGGGGAGGGATCGATTCAACACGCCACGCATCACATCGCACATAGCTGAGCAGCAACCAAGCCCTCGTCATCCATTCGACCTTTCCATCAGAGACTTGGGACCTGTCTCTCTCTCGCCCATTTGTAACCCCTACTATGAACTTTTCAGTGCTAATAACACAAGCAACAGTCACGAATTGGACGTAGGGACATTCTGCCCGAACCAGTATAAACCTTGTGTCTTTTTAGTACACCATCCGGGTCAGACGCACAATAACACAAATTTACTCGTTGGTGTTTACTCGACACACCGACACCCACGGCAAGGGACATGGGCCGCACCATCAGAGGTGGCCTAACCCACAAGATCAAGGCGTGCGGCGCACGGCACTGGTCGACGTGCACCGCAAGGCTACAAGAAGATGTGATTTATTAATATAAAATATGATACTTTTTTTATAACCCTACCCCTCTAGAGCATATAAGGAGGGGCATGGGTCCTCTAGTCGACATCCCCATACGGATCCTAGGCTCAGCCTAAGGCATTTAAACACACGCAATATCATACGATAGCCAATACAAACCAAGACCATAGGAGTAGGGTATTACGTCGTGCTGATGGCCCGAACCTGTCTAACTCTTGTGTCTCTATTGCCTTCTTGTTCTTGATTATGCGCACCTCTGCCGATCAATCTACATTCGTGGAAAACTCTCGGAGGACTGCCGAGCATACTTTTGTCGACAAATATGCATATATATCCTGTGTGTGTATAACAAGTTGTAACCCTAACGCTACCTCTTTAGCCTCTCGTCCTTGTTCTTGATTCTTAGCTGATCCTGACATTCACCATTCCCACCTTTGGCCTCCCTAGCGCCCCAACCGCTACTCCACCACTCCACCTCCAGCCTCCCTAGTCACGTGACCCGGCGCTAAGCAGATCTAGCAGCCGGACAACTAGAAAAGTGCGGGACCAGGCATCTGTTCCTCACGAGTGTGACCATGGGTAGGCGACCTCATCAACGCACTGCACGTGCAGTCACCTATTGAGAGCTGGGGAGCAAACAGACGTGCTGCAGATCGAGAAATCCAGTAGCGCTCCCTAGCCCCTACCCCAAAGCTCCCAATTGAACTCTAGCGTGATTGGATGACATTTGATCTATAAACTTCGATGAATGTTGTGTGGTTGGCGTGTAGTCATCGATTTTTGATGGTATAATGATGTTTTTTTTGTCTTGCTTAGTTACTAAATATATATAATTATTCATATGTTAACATGTGTCTTGTGATGATGATGATGATGATGTAGGGACAAGAACCCATGGGGATTAATTTCTCACGTGGGGGCGGAAATGAAGAGTGAATGTTCTCTGTTGGCATTCATGAAGACAGGGATGGGAAAATATATGCCCCGCGACAAAGAGAATGGAGAAATAAGCTTTGACAGAAAAGTTTTTTGTGCTAATATCTCTAGCCATGTTGGTGCAATGCTTTTTAAAACCATGTCTAGTGTGTAGTATAGTCGCGTAAGAGCATCTCCATCAAATTAAGAAAAACAATGCCCTTACCCTAAAATCTGTCATATAGGAGAATGAGATGAAAAAACCTAGCTCTAGTAGATTCCCTTTCTTCATCCTCTTTCCCTATATTTTTCTGAATCCCTAAAATGGAGGGGATCCGGTAGTTGTTTTTCTCAATACCCATTGTGGGGGGTGAGCGCGTGGGCCACATCGTCGCCGCGCGAGGCGAGAACGGGCCACACCGCCGCCGTGGGTGAGTGCGGAGGCCGCCCACCACCATGATGAGCGAGCATGCCGCGAACGAGATATGGAGAGAGAGAAGACGGAGGAAGAAGAAGACAATATTAGACATTGTAAGGTGAGTTCTATCTGATAAAAGGATGTGTTTTCTCAGTCTACTGCGAGTCTGCGACTCTAATAGTCTCCTAGAGACTGGATGACCCGTCTGGCCATCCATGCTCCGACCAATCTTCGTCTTGCGCCGTGCACGTGTAGGGCGGACCAGGCGACACCCCCCGATCGCTGTTGTTTCCCGCTACGTGGCGCGCGCCACCCGCCCGCGTCAGCAAAAGCTCCCGCGCCAGCGAGCCTCGATGCCATTGCCACGGTCGCTTTGGGGTTAATCCCGTGAACAGCGAAAACGAAGCGAAACGCTCATGACCGAGACAACCGGTAAACTGCCTTTTCCGCCTCCGCTTCTAGAAAGAGAGGGAGCAAGTCGACTGTCGCTGCCTATTAATACGCGCCCACCTCTCCTCTCTCTCTCTCTCTCCCTTCATCTCTCTCTCGGCTCCCAAATCCCCTCCCCGTCGCCGCCTCCCTCCAGGTCGTTTCCAAGCCCCGTTGGGGGGCTCGCCGGCGCCGGCATTGGGTATAACCTCGCCGCCTCCGTCCCGTAAGGTTTCTCCTCCCGAGATCGGTCCCCATGCTTTCTTGGAAACTATGTCACGTTGCTCATCTAGCGCTCGTAGATCTCGCCGCGCAGAATTGCTTGTCGGGTTCGTGTAAATTTCCTTTTGTTATTTGTGCGTATTCCTTGTCGTCTCCGCCTCCCCATGCGACGGCGACGGCCGTCGCCCGCACGGGGAATCTGTTCCGTTCCATGTGTGGAACTGTATCCGAAGAGCCCCAAAGGCGAGTTTTTTAATCGAGCCGCCCACAACACGGCCATGAGAAAGCAGGTGGGATGCAGAGGGGAGGGAGGGAGAAGGGTGTTGGCCGTGGTTGTTGGCTGTGTGGGATTCTTCCTCGCGGGGGGTCTCTGCGGCCGAGCCGGGGTTCGTCCAACTGGACGTACCTTTTTCTTGCCCTTTTCCCCGATTCTTTTTGGATGGGTTGGGAAATAAAAGGCATATCTTTGATGATTGCCGCACTGCACCGGTCTGGCCTTGTGTTCGAGGGCCCCCACGTATTTTGTTCTTGTTGGTTGGGGTTGATGGGAGCTGTGTCTTTCACTGCCGCCGTTGCGAGCAGCATGTTGCATCGCCGAGGCTTTCCTGCAAGCCTGGCCAGGCGCCATCTGTTGTACGAGCCTATTGATTGGCTGATTGATGCCCCGGTGGTCCCATTCGATTAGTCCTGTCACGATACGTGGTGATTACTGACGTAATCCGCAATTATGTGCTCGCCTTTTGTTTCCCAGTGCCACTGCCGAACAGTTCCATGTGCACCTGTCTTGAATTGCTCTTTGAATTTTCCTAGTATTTTAGTGTGTGTTCTCATGGACACCCTATGCAATTCAACACGCTGGAGACTTTACCGACAATGCCAACAGCCGTGCATCTACCATTAGTACACATGGGTCTCACCAAATCATCCATGTTTATGTCATTTGTTGTAATTTGGCCTTAAATTGTTAGTGATGGATGGATCAAACATCATTTTCCAACTAATATGTGGTGGTACATAAAGGAATCATGGCTCACCAGCTGATGTCTTTTTCATTTTCCCTTGTAACTCCTGAGTCGTGAAAAAAAGGCGATCCTGTCTTTTTCCTTTTTAAAACTTGCAAGACAGGAACAGGAACTATGCTGTTCAATGTGGTCAGCTATTCTTGCATTAGGTGGTGTGGTGTTTCATTAGACATTACAGGACAACACCTTTTTTTGTCCTTTTTTATTACTGTAGTGTAGACTGTGATTGTGCACAATTATTGTCCTTGGAACTGATTGGTATGTCGGATGGATGAGTTCTCCTTTTAAATGATCTGTGTTGACCAGGGTGATGAACCAGTATATGCTTCAACATTTTGTAGCCCCCCCTCCCCAAAGTGATTGCTATGTTCAAGGCTTATTTTTTTTTCTTCCAATACAGAATGCAGGGTCTTCACATTTAATGGGCTGGATGCGGTACATGCATGTTTGCAGTGACAAGAACACATTGAAACGTTGGTTTTTCATTGACAAGAGGGTTGGTTAAGCATTTTAGTGCACTAACCTTTTGTAGTCTGTAATTGGTTTCACAACAAGTCTCTTGTGGAGTTGTGTCTTGTTGATGGATTTGAAGACAGGCCTCAATTCACCTGTTATTGCTGACCATCTCCCTACATTAGCATCGCCTGCTGCTGTCATGACTTTCACAACACCTACTAGCTTTACCTCTCCGGGGCTTTGCTTGAACACTACAAAGAAGATACCTCTGCCTGGTAAGATTGAAGAAGTTCGTGCTACTGGATGGCTTGATCTCATGAAGGCCTCATCACCTACCCGCAAAAGGCAGACCAAGGATGTCATCTGTGATACTCAATCTGATGATCTTGATTTGCAATACCGCAACTGGATGGTATGTATCTGAACCTAATACTGTATGGCAGAATTGTAACCAATATGTTAGTGATTCCCATTGTTTCACCTTTGTAGGTGAACTATCCTTCTGCTTTGACCTCATTTGAGGCAATTAGTGATCTTGCTGGGAGTAAAAGATTGGCATTGTTTCTTGACTATGATGGAACACTTTCACCGATTGTGGACAATCCTGAAAATGCATTAATGTCTGATGAGGTATGTTTTCCTTAAGTCCTACAATTCTTGTAAAATTAGCAGTCCAATGCAATTTCCAGTCCACTTTCTAAACATTGTATTTCACAGATGCGTGCTGCAGTGAGGCATGTGGCATCACTTTTCCCAACTGCAATCATTAGCGGAAGGTCTCGTGATAAGGTATACAATGTTATTGTTCATTACACAAATTACTCCTATCAGCATTTTGCATCTTTCTCATTGATTTTTTTTTTAGGTTTTTGACTTTGTCAAGCTAAATGAACTATACTATGCTGGAAGCCATGGAATGGACATAATGGGCCCTGTTAGGAAGACTACTGACTCCAATGGCGTGGAATGTATTCGGTCAACTGATGCGCATGTGAAACTACTTTCTAGATCTTTACCCTCATAATTTAAATTTCTTACTTGCTTTCGTAGTGTGAATCTCCTTTTCCTCTTTGTAGGGTAAAGAAGTCAATCTGTTCCAACCTGCTAGTGAGTTTTTACCTATGATCACTGAGGTATGCTGTATCAACTTCTTGAGTTAAGTTGCCATCTTATGTAATATGGTTGGACTTACTCAGTGGTGTACATGCCAGGTGTATGAAAAACTTGGTGAGAGTGTTAAGGACATTGATGGTGCAAGGATGGAAGACAACAAGTTCTGCGTGTCTGTGCATTACCGTAATGTGGCGGAAGATGTAATAGTTCTATATCTTGGTGTTTATATTTCATACAGAAAATGTGCATTGGGATTATTTGAACTGAACATGGACCATTTAAACTCAAATTCCTATTCTTGCTTCTCAGGACTATAAAAAGGTTTTCCACCGTGTAAGTGCTGTTTTGGAAGATTACCCTTGCCTAAGACTAACCCATGGGAGGAAGGTGAGCATTATGCACCATTAGAAGGCTTTCCTTATCAAAATATTTGTTGTAAGCAGTTTGAATTTGATTAATATTCAATCACACTCTTCAATCCAGGTTTTTGAGGTCCGTCCTGTTATTGATTGGAACAAAGGTAAAGCTGTGGAGTTTTTACTTGAATCGCTTGGGCTCAACGAGAGTGAAGATGTTCTCCCTATCTATGTTGGAGATGACAGAACAGATGAAGATGCATTCAAAGTATGACTAGTTCACTTGAATGGACTTGTAAAGCATATATTTCCACAACACATAATTTACTCTTGGTTCAAATAGGTTCTGAAGGCAAGCAACCGTGGCTTTGGAATATTGGTGTCATCTATACCCAAAGAGAGTGACGCCTTCTATTCCTTGAGGGATCCAGCTGAGGTAACTCGTAGCACTGCGGCAACCACAACAAACTTTTGCCTTTGAATATTTCTTGGTTCAAAAGGAAAATTGAAAACTTCTGAACATTTGACTATGTGTTGGGTATTGCAAGTTTAGAGAAATGAAACATTCTTTTGATGCATATAGGTGATGGAATTTCTGAGAATGTTGGCAGCATGGAAGGAGCAGTCCACCTGATACCTGTTTTGCTGGGTCTGGAGAAGAAGCAAGATTATAAATATTAGCAAGATATTTGGAGGAGTCAAGCCAAAATATTTTTGATTTGGCATTTTATAAGAGGGTACCATATTTTGATACCTTTTCAGTCCCACTTTGTTCTTGTGTTAAATGTGTTTCTCAATCAGTTCAATTCTTTAATTATTTAGTTTCCTTTAGTATATATGGAAATATTCTTAAAAAGGAATTTTGGTTCCTGCTAGTGTTTCACTGTGTCGCGAATTTTGTATTCTTCAAGCTGTAAAGAACCGGTTCTTCGTTTAAACAACATTTAGCTGACAATGGCTCATGGAAAATCAAGTTATGAGCAAGGAGCCGCGGAGACCTACATTGCAGGCATGTTGTGTGCCTGGGCTTTCATTTTTTATCTTTGCTGCAAGTGTATCTGGATGCCTGTCTGCCTGTTCCAAATGTCTGTTCCATTGTTGAGCTGGACCAATTCTATAATCTGGCGATCAAAATGCTCAGCTCGCTATTCGCGAATGTGCCGTTTGGATGTGTTGAGCTATTTCGCATTAGTTTAGTCTCGTTTGAATTGTGAGACTTGCTTGACACGCATTTATGGTGATTTTTGTTAAAATTATAGTGATAATTTCAGTGTCGTCGGGTGAAGTTTTATGGCTATTGTCGTGACCATGAGATAGCGATCATGTCAGATGGCAAACAGCTGCAAGGTGCTGCGGACAATAAGAGGAATCCTAGGAAAAATTTAAAAAGACTTTTTTTCTTTGGCATCGGTTTCATTTTTTTTTGGGAGGATTGCATCCATTTCAATTCTTTTTAGATGAAGCATCCATTTCAATTGATATTTTGATTTGACAAAACTAGACTATCAATTGAATTGCATCCACAAGGGCAACTTAAAGAGACTCTTACCCTATTGATAGGAATAAAGATTTTGGTGGGAAGATCTTTAAATATTGCACCATCTATTTCTAGTTTCTTGCTTGCTAAAGATGAAAAGCGTGGATAGCTCTCTAAAGTGCTACAACTCTACAAGATATGAAGAAGTTGTTGGAAGATAGAAAGTTATAAAGAACATTTTTATTCAAATTAAAATTTAGAGAGTGAGTGAGACTGAGACGCTGTAATTCATTTCATTTTTTTGAGCTAATGTAATTCATTTCATTTGATATTTTGATTCGATGCAACTGGGTCATGCGGCCCACCGCACTTTCTAGGTCACCAGGTTGACAGTTCGGCCCATGATCCCTAGCCCATACACAATCAGACCGAGTTTCTTCCCATGACGGCACTTCGACGGGCCACACTTTTCCTTTGAGGACCACTCCACCTTGCACTCCAGAGTCCAAAACCCTACGATCCGCGCCACCATGCCGCGCCTCGCCGCCGCCGCCGCCGTAGCACGCCGCGCCGGCGAGGCCCTGCGCCAAGGCGCGCTTGGGGGACTGCGGCCTCTCTCCTCCCTCCAACCGTCGAACGCTGCCTCCAGCGACGAGGTAACCAAGCGCCTGGTCCGCCAGGCCCACCGTCGTGGCATCCTCCTTCGGCATCGGAGGCCGGGATTCCGTCGCTGACACAGTATTTTGCGCAGGTGCTCGTGGAAGGAAAGGCAAGTGCGCGCGCCGCCGTGCTCAACCGCCCCGGCTACCTCAATGCCCTCACCATCACCATGGTTCGTCCCCATTTCCTCGCGTACTATTGTAGGTAGTAGTTGGTGCGCAGTTTTGTTTCGGTGGTGATTGGAAGACTCTTTGTTCGATGAGATGCTTTACATAGTTGTGCGGTGATGGGGTTCGGGCTCTCTGAACTGTAGGTGAATATTGTTTGATGAAATGAGTCGGTGATCATGCTCCATAGCAGTTTGGTGAATTATGTTTTCTCTTTTAGGCCCCTGCTATCATTTGCTGAGCATGTGTATAATGTAATGCCCACACAGTCATTTACGCGTGCTGGGTGCCTTGGTGTTGGGACTTGGGTGAACTACCCTTTTCTTCAGCAAAGGTGGAGCTTCTGCAGATTGATTTAGTCCCTTTCTTGCAATGCAAATGATTAGGCTTAGTTTATTCATGTGTTGATAACGCTGACTTCATTTGTTTTTTCTGTCCACGGGTGTATAGATTATAGCTTACAGATTTACATTGGAAACAGTTGATCTGATGCTTGGTGAAATGTCCGTCTTGATAGGGAGCTAGGCTTAATAAATTTTATGAATCATGGGAGGACAACCCAGACATTGGCTTTGTCATGATGAAGGTATGGTGCTTCATCATTTCAGTTCTGCTTATATTGCTGACCAAATATAAATTGAGTTGTTCATTGCATGAAGGGCAGCGGCCGAGCATTCTGTGCTGGTGGGGATGTTGTTAAATTACGTGAACTTATCGGTGAAGGTGGGTGGTTAAGCCCTGCATAGCATATAGTTTGTATCCCATTGTGAACTGTTGATAGTAATCATTCCGTTATATTTCTGTCACCTGCGTATCCTTTTTAGTAAACTGTCTGTCATGCTTGCTTTGCTTTCGCCCTTGTTTAGTTCTCCAAAAGTGCACTATGCAAAAAGAAGATTCCCCGTCACATCAAACTTGCAGTACATGCATGGAGTACTAAATGTAGACGAAATCAAAAACTAATTGCACAATTTGCTTTAACTTTGCGAGACGAATCTTTTGAGCCTAATTAGTCAATGTTTGGACAATAATTCACAAATACAAACGAAATGCTACAGTAGAGAATCGTGCACTATGCAAACTTTGCCGAACTAAACGCGCCCTTCACAAAACAGCAGCAAGTTATTACGATGACACAATTTGGCAAAACAACTCTCCATTTGCTTGCTTGCTGAATCTGCTTTATTTGTCTCTAGAAAAGGTTGATGGAAAGAACACAAATCAAAGGTTTTTTTACCCAATTTATTGTACAAGAAGTTCCTTAAATTTGGATGGTCCACTGTAAACTTGTGCATTGTAAAAAGGTTTTGTGCTGTCCAAGTTTACCTTAAATTTAATATTTTTTCCTTTATCAGGCAAGCTGGAGGAATGTAAGGATTTTTTCAAGACTTTGTACATGTTCATTTATTTTCTGGGCACGTACTTGAAACCACATGTAAAGTATATGGATTCAGAACTATTTTCTTGTTACGATTCATTATAATATTTTTGATTTGACATCTGAGATTGCATTTGTCTGTAATAGATTGCCATTCTTGATGGTGTTACTATGGGTGGTGGTGGAGGTGTTTCCATTCCTGGAACATTCCGCATTGCAACTGATAGAACAGTATGTCAATGTATTTTTACTCACTTGCTTTTATTTTCTATATATTTCTGTGGCGAGCTTATGCTATTTTCCTCTTGATGCTTCCTCTATTTCTTGAATAGTTTGGAGTCAGGTATTTGATATTTTTTTTTTAATTCAACGATTTCAGGTCTTTGTGACTCCAGAAGTTCATATTGGATTCCATCCTGATGCTGCAGCCTCATTTTATTTGTCGCATCTAACTGGTCATGTTGGTTAGTGCTCTTATGTGGAGTTACATCTTGTCCCTGCTACTTTATTGGTGGTTGTGCTGTAGTCCGTTGCAAAATAGGAATATGTAATCAGTCTGCTAGTTTTCACTTTTCACACTTGAAGCCTCGCAGGGGAATATGTGGCCTTGACTGGTGAAAAGCTCAATGGAACAGATATGATTGCTCTTGGCCTTGCTACACACTATTCCATGAGTGGCGTAAGATTCTTTTTACTATATATCTCATGTTTGAAGTCCAGATATTTCTACTGTGGTATTTTAATCAACTTATGAACATTTTATGTTTGGTTTTTTGGACAGCATCTGGATCTGATCGATGAACGACTTGCAAAGTTAGTAACTGATGACCCATCAGTTATTGATTCTTCCCTTGCACAATATGGAGACATGGTTTATCCAGACAAAAAAAGCATTGTTCATAGGTAATCTATTTTACCAAACATTGCTCATCAAACACTTTTCCATGTGTCATCTCCATGGCTGCCAGCAGCTCTAACTACAGTAACCCTGCTTTGTTATTCCAAATCCTTTTTGGGGTTTTGGATACATAATTATTAATCACGCACCCGGTAGAAAAAGGCAGAAATGTTATGTTTAGCCATTTACGAACAAGAATTGAAAGCTAGAACCATCGCTTGTTCTTTCCTGGAATCGATTCTAGCATGGTGGGCTTTGATCTATGTGTTCCTTTCTTTTGTGGCATTACTTTTGGGCATGTCAGTTTATTTTCTTCATAAAAATGTTATATTGGTTGGATGTATATATGCGCTTGAGATGATGATAATCTGGATGTTGCATTGTCTGCTCTTTAAAAAACAATCGACTGTTTCTTCTTTTTAGTTAAGACTAGGTATTGGCCCATGCGTTGCTATGGGCACATAAAATTTAAACGATGCTAATATTTTTTAATTTTAAATCCTAACAAACAATGATTTGCTCATCCCTTACCTTTTTATTTTTTAGCCCATTGCCTCTTTACTTTTTAGCCCGTTGCCTCTTTCTTTCTATAGAATCAACCGGGAGTGGCTTTATAGGCATGGGAAATAATGTCTAAATGCCCTGTCTCTTTTCTTCTGAACCTCTCTCCCCCTTTGGTCTTCCACTTTTGCATTTCAGGAAGCAATCCGCTCCGTAATATGGCCACTGTTATCTTGCCTGAAAGTAAATGTAAGGAACAAATATTGTAAGCACAAACATCTGTACCTGATGATGAAATTCACTAAAATCACTGCATGAACCAGAGCACTAACGGGAACCTAATTACATATCAACAATATGAGACACCCGATGATATGAAGTCCATAAACTAAAGCACGGGCTAATAATCTGAGATAACAGGTGATAGTGCAGACTCTGGTTCAGACCAACAGCAAGATGAGAGCTTCAGTTCGTGGTGAAGCCATTGCCACCATCCGTGCTGGAGTCCAGGTCTTTCACCGCCGACCACATCACAGTGTACACGAACGCATGGACAGCCAAGAGCAGTGGATTCGGGTACGAGAAATAGCTGTCTGCCGGTGAGCAGGCCGGCCCGCTCCCTCTGCTCGTACTCATGCCTCTGCCACCCCCGCCTTAGCTCGTGCAGGTCTGCCACCAGGGTTGCGCACCTCGCATCCCTGGCCTGACCTGTGGCCGCCAAGCATCTTGCCGCCAGTCCAGTATCCGCGCCATCTTGGCGTGTGCTCCTCCGCAACACGTGGCGCAGCGCTCCGCCACAACACGTGGCACAGCGCTCCGCCGCAACATGTGGCGTAGCGCTCCCGGCAACCTCCACACACGGATCCATGTCCACCACCACTGGCCTCTGCGCCATGGCATCCTCACATCCAACATCCATGAACCTTGCCAGAGGCGCTGGAGAGATCATCGCCGTCCACGCCTGCCACCAGCACACATAAACGGCTGAATACATTTACACAGTTCATCAGTAAGGCATGTACGAAGGAAGAGCACCTTATGAAACTTTTTTTTTCACGAGTGTATCAAGGACCACATTTAAAGTAGGCGAGATGTGCTATAAGGATCAAGAGTGTACCTTATATTGCGTATATCATCTTGATTGTCATCCCTCATTTTTCCATTTGTGTTACCTTAGGCTGGAGGTGATTGATAAATGCTTCAGCCATGACACAGTTGAAGAGATTGTTGATGCCTTGGTGAGTGATGATTCAGCTGCTTTTTTTTACTATCCTAACATACATCATTGTTTGATTGATTTGATAATGAGTGAAACATGAGATATAATTCATTCATATATGCCATTTGTGGCTTGGTTTGTGACCTTTTGCTAGCATCTCACTATTTACCGTGAAACTTTCATGAATCTTATAGTTAACCTTGATAAAACTTACCATACCTCTTTGATATGTTTTCATCATTGCAATTTTACTGCCCTGAATGGTGCATGATTTAGTTTGTTGAGTTCAGTGTTTCTTTGTTCTGTGACAAAGTTATGTTCAATTTTCATATGATTTAAAACTGAGTACTGTCATAATCAGGAAAATGAAGCAGCTAGCTCAAATGAAGAATGGTGTACCTTGGCACTGAAACGATTGAAAGAGGCCTCTCCGTTAGCTTTGAAGGTCTCACTGCGATCGGTAAGTAGAAGTTCTACAGCCTCAGTTGTTTGTCCTTGTGCTGTTGACAGAGATTGTTTCTGGCCATGATGTAGATACGCGAGGGTAGGTATCAGACACTTGATGAGTGCCTTGTCCGTGAGTACCGCATGTCCATGAATGGAATCTCAAAGCAATTTTCTCATGAATTCTGTGAGGTATGTTCTTAATGCTGCATTCTTTCCATAAGTTCAGAGAATATCTGTAAACTATTATGCTTGATAAAGTGATCATTGTTGCCACAAATTTTTAGAATTTGAAAGTGAATACTATCAAACTTGTGATTTGGAAATTGAGAGGTTCCTGTCACTAAATTTGTGAAATTATGGAAGCTGTTTGTTATAGAAGTGAACTATAATTGAGCATTTTTTTGTTGCTGGTTAAAGATTTCATCTTTTGTTATATACTAGTTCTTAATTTCTCATCCCTGTGTAGGGTGTCAGAGCACGACTAGTCGAAAAAGACTTCACTCCTAAGGTAATTATTTTTGCTGTTTTGATTGATCGGTTCTTTGTGCTAGACTGCTTGGAAAAACAATTCTGTTGTTTGTGATCTATATAAGTTGATTTATATGTATTTGTTGTCTCAGTGGGATCCTCCTGCCCTTGAATATGTTACAAATGACCTGGTTGACGCTTACTTCGCACCTCTTGGTGATTTGGAGCCTGAGTTGAAGCTACCTACAGAATCGCGAGAGGCATTCGTATGATTACAAATCATTCTAAGGACTGGACTGAGACCTGATAAACGTGTTATAATTTGTGTAGCCATTATTTTTGGCAGCACAACCAGCCCTGTTGAACCAACTATCCATGTGCCATATACACGTTTTGGCGCATTGAATTTTGAGCGCCAATGGGAACTTTCAGTATTTGTCACGAGTGAGCTAGCTCTTCACCTTAAGGCCTTGTTTCCCTAAACCAAACCATAGGGGATCGAGGATGATTTTGACTTGTAGGGGATTTTGTCCCCCCTCAATCCCTCCTAATCTCCTTGGTTTTAGAGCAAATCGAACAAGGGCCTTAAGGCCCGTCTCAATGGGATGTCAATATGTCATGGGAGTTTTATAGACAATAAATGAAGTGACATGTCAACCAAAAAAAAAAAAAAACTTAAGTTTTGCATGTATTGAGGAAGAGAGAGGATTAGAGTTTCATGGCATGAAACTAGCCAGTGTTGTTTCCCATACCTTGGAAAACAGATGAAAACAGCACTGAGCCAGTTCAGTTCATGTCATCCGATCCACTGTGGCCAGCTGCGGCAACGAGCCTCGCACGCTCATCAAGCAGCCGCGTCAATTCTCTCTTCCCCTTCTGTCAACGGTAATGCTCGGGTCAAGATTTTCGTTCACGTCGGACCCTCCTTGACGGGCCTGTTACCACTACTGGCCCAACAGGCCTGTTTCTCCCCACTCCGCTCGCCCATCATGTGTTCGCCGCGTGAGGCCGCGCTGTGTTTCGCTACGCCTCCTGCCGGCTTTCATCTCCACCGTCGTGACGTGCTCCCTCACGACCGCACAACCGATGCCGCCTCGCCACGCGTGAGGCCGCACCCACCCGATTGTTGTTGTCGCCTCCACCGTAGGCACTGATCGTATGGGGCACCGCACACGCCCCATTGCTTGGGGCAGCGAAGCCCTCATCGGGGGCTACGCAGCCGCCCGCCTGCTACCATCCTCCACCGCGATCGTACAGCCAGATCCCGCTGTGCAGTGCTCTGCCCGCCCGCCTGCCAGGTTTTGGTGAAAGCGCATGTTGCAAGCGTATGTTTCAAGTGTTTCAAATGTTTCAGAGGTATGTTGCAAATGTTTTAGATGGATGTTGCAAAAATAGATTGGGATATTGCATATGTTGCAATGGTTGTATACTTATGTTGCAAAGGTCTGTTACCGATGTTTCATCTGTGTTTTAGGGACGTATGTTGCAAGTGTGCTTATCTAGATATTGCATATGTTTCACACATATATTGCAAGTGTTTTATCTAGATATCGCGTATGTTTGCAATGATTTTCAAGTGTTTTCAGGTGTTTTTTTCAAGTGTTTCAAAAGCAAGTTTCAAGTATTTCATCTGTCTTCTTTTGTATGTTGCAAGTGTTGCATCGAGCGAGTATAGTGGATCTTCATCTGGTTGGTGTGGATCAGATTTCCGGCGGTGTTTCTCGACTCCACGTGGTTAGTGGCGGCGGGCAGACCACGCCCTGTAGCAATGGTCAGGCCCGCTTGAGATAGCTCTCGGGCAGATGCCTCCGGCACGTGGGCCCGCATGGGGCACGTGAAATGATGTGGAAGCGGACTGCAGGTGTGGGCGTCCGGACGCCTCGTTCGTCAGACGTCCAGACGCTAGCAGTGCCCTTCCATGAAATCTCCGTGCCCCACCTGCTCCTCTTCATGTTTCTCGATTTTGTCCAATCTCCATGGCCCACATGCTCCCCTTCATGTTTCTCCATTTCTCTTGTTCTTTTTTTTTGCATTTGTTTATTTTATCTCTGTATACTGCATGTTGATAAATATAATTGTTTTTATATAATATAATATGTTGTGTGAAAGTGTAATATTATGCATGTCTATGAATTAAACATGACTATATATAACATAATATCTTGTGTGAAAATGTAATATTCTAATGTGCTAGTCCTTCAAAATATAAAGTAGCTACATAGTTTACATGACACAATTGATCACAACACCTTATAAGAATTAAATGTTGCAAGTAACCTACTCCCTCCATTATAAATTATAAGTCATTTCAATTTTCTTGAAGAGTCAAAGCATTTCATGTTTGACTAAAATTATAGAGAGAACTACATAGATTTATGACATCAAATAGGTATGCTATGAAAATATAATCAAAAGAAGAATCTAATGATACTTATTTGGTATCATAAATGTTATTATTTTATTATATAAATTTGGTCAAACTTGAGATATTTTGACTCTCCAAGAAAGTTAGAATAACTTAGGGGGTGTTTGGATACAGGTGACTAAATTTTAGTCTCTGTCACATCGGATGTTTGATACTGATTAGGTGTATTAAATATAGACTAATTACAAAACTAATTGCATAAGCCGTGACTAATTCGCAAGACGAATCTATTAAGCCTAATTAGTCCATGATTAATGAATGTGATGGTACAGTAAACATATGCTAATCATAGATTAATTAGGCTTAATAAACGTCTCGCAAATTAGTCACGGCTTATGCAATTAGTTTTATAATTACCTCATGTTTAGTCCTCGTAATTGATATCCAAACATTATGGTAGGGACTAGATCAAAACACCGCCTTATAATTTGGGATGGAGTATGAAACATTCGAAATGAAAATGTGCACTGAGAGAGTGTTTCATTCGAAGTTACTAATGTTGTCACGTCTTGGAAATAGTGGAATGAAACCTTCCACCGAGACTAGCCTAAAGGGGACAGTTGTGAGTGCCAAGGGGACAATTGTGAGTGCTCTTTATAAGAGCATTTCAACAGATTACTTATGCATCATCCTCTAAAAATATAATTATATAATAGTAATGTAGATTCTTCTTCCCCTCATCCAACAAATTGCCAAAACCCAATACCCTGTATCCCCTCTTAACACAAACACCTCTCCCTTCTACGAATGTGGTGTGACGTGGTGCCCCTCTCTCATTTCTCTCTGTGCGATGCAACCCCTCTCTCCTCCCTTATATGGACTCCCCCCTCCCTTCTATGGATCTGATGTCTCTCCCGATTCCCATGCACCGCCTCTCTCCTCCCTTTTAGGGCCCGTTTGAAACAAAGAAATACAAAACAGAGGAATGAAAAAAACACATGAATAAGGTAGAGTGAATAGTGAAAAACTATAGGATTTTAAAACATAGGAATGGATACTTTGAGCTATTTGGAATAGAGGAAAAAAAGTACAAGAACATGGGTAAGCTTTAGCAAGAGATGGATAGCAAAGATTCTTTCCCTTGGGTTAGAGTAGATGTTTTATTTCCTTTGTTTTACACTAGTATGGTTTCCTTAGGAACTCCATATTCCCTCATTCCAAACAATATCAATTGATTCATTTTCATTGGAATTTATTTCTTAAAAAAATCCTTTGATCCAAACAAACCCTTATGGACTCTCCCTTCCCTTATACGGACATGGCCTCTCTCCTATTTGTCCCACGTGACTCCCTTCCCTTCTTTCGTTTCTCTCGCGTGACACCCTCTGTTGTTTGTACGTGGCGTCTCTCCCATTTTACTCACCTCCCTTCTACGGACATGGCGTCCCTCCCATTTCTCTCGTGCGACGCATCGCCTCTCCCATTTTTCCCTATGGTCGGCGTATCTCTGTTTCTGCCCTGTGACGCATTGCCTCTCTCATTTATGTTTCCCAAGGTCACCCACCTGTTTCTCTCTCCCGCCTCTCACACTTCGATCTACTGTTCTCCCTTGGCCAAATTTGTCGTCATGGAGCTCCCATGGCTGGATGTGCTGGTATCTAGCAGCCCATCTACTGGTATCTAGTGCCCCTCCCTGTCATCGGATCTGACTGGAGCAGAGTTTGGGCGTGGGTGGTGGGTTAGGGCTATAAGAGTCATTGGCCGCCACCAGCGTAGGGCAACAGTCATAGGCGGATCTGCATCTTCAAGCTCCACTCCAGTCGATTTGTGTGAGTCTTCGACCTCTGCTCAGGCCGATTCATGCTGGTGAGGGCTCGGTGCTTGGCTCATGATGCGAAATGGTGAGCGGCAGCAGGAACCGGGCTCCCTGACCCAAACACACTACTACTGTTAGGATTTGTAGGGACGGCTGGTAAGGGTTTGTAGGGGCGGTTTTCCCAGCCGCCTCTAAGCAATCGTGTCTACAAATCATTGATTTGTAGGGGCGGTTCCCAAGCCGCCCCTATAAAAGGATTTGCAGGGGAGGCTGATAACACCAGCCGCCTCTTTGTAGGGGCGGTTCAGTATAAAACCGCCCCTATAGTCAATTTTTCGGGGAAAAAATTGAAATTTAAAATTCAAATCTGACCAGAATATGAATTAGTCACAAGAACCATAACAATTTAGATTACTTCGTTATAAACCCATAATAATTCACAAGAACCATAATAATTTAAATTACTTCATTACAAACACATAATAATTTAAATTTGTTCATTACAAACTAGAATAATTTAGATCGGTTCATTATTACAACCAACGGTAATTTAATTTTCTAGAACTTTCCAGCGCCGTACCACGTATTCGAGAGAAGTGCAGATCATTCATTTCATATGCCAAAATGTCACTGATGTTGCGCAATCTATTTACTAGTACACTCTCCCTTGCTTCACAAGATCGTTCATAAGGTCTACTGACGACGATCAGCATTGGTTGAGAACATTCCTCCTAGTCACGAGAATTTTTCCTGGATTCCCTCTGAAGTGAGAACAGGGCCATCATATTCCCATTTATAACGACCCAAGTGATACATGGTCTGGTTTAAAATGGCTTCAAAGCTACAACTTGTGTATGTTACGTCATTCTTCTGAATCTGCAAGTGTTGGAAAAAATATGGTTATCAGAACCATGCATATATATAAACCTAATAATTAATCTGGATATAAGTTATGAGATTGACCACATCATTCATGTTTTCCTCAGCAAGCTGTGCACTAAACAGTCCAATATCGTGGTGGAGGCCCACATTCAAAGCAGCAATCCTCACGAAGGAGTATGTAGGAATATTATGCCCAATATTTTAAAGCG